TACAGGTAAATTATCTAGAAATTAAGGTTGAAGTTGTATAAGGAAGTAACTAATACCTATAAATTCTATTTTTAAACTTAAAGGAAATCCTAAATGATTCTAAACTAGTTTATGTAGAAAATTTCAAAATTTAGGGAAAATTCATTCTCCTTTCAATGAGATTACAATCAGTGTAGGAATCAGAAGTTTATAAATTTAAATGTAGTTTTGTAACCAATAGGAGCATACATATTCTTTACCCTCTTATGAGTGCATAAAGAACATTGGCTAACTAGAGCTAAGTTCCTAAATCCTTGGTTATGCTGGGTAGATTCTAGTCTGTCACTCTAGAATACTCATGTAAGCCCTCAATTTGGCTAACCAAGCTTTCAGTTCCAAACACTAAATTAAATTGGTTATGATTCTAGCATGTCACCCTAAAATCACCAATTTACACCTATCAAAACATATCTTCATATTTATTTGCACTGTCCTATGGACTGCTTTTCATTCACCCAATAGTGCAATGTAATTCTTACTTGTTAAGAAAATCATAGCTCTCCCGGGTTATTATGATTCACAACAAGTTTTAACTATCAATTGGTCAGACTGAATAAGCAATTTAAGTGCAAAATAATGAATCATCATAATTATGAAATAAAAGAAATGCTAAACAAGACTAATCCCACACATGATTATTTCTCATCACAAAGAGAAAGATAAAGAAATCTACTCAAATTTCATGGGGACAAAAAAAATAACACATGATATATATATAAAAGTAGGTTTACACAATCAAATTTAACAAAACTAAAAAAAAATACAAAACACTTTATCTCAAACTACTCGCCAAGCAAATCTTCTAAAGTTCCTTTAAAGAATTCTTCTTACAATTACTCTCAAATATAACTCAGAAATGCACAAAATGAAAGAAATCTCTCACTTTTCCTTCTCTTATGCACTCTAAAGTGTTGGAAATATTAACCCCTATACACTTTTCTCTCTCCCCTCTTTTTCTTCTCCTGTTTTAGGCACCAAGAGACTTTTCTTTTTATAACCCTTAAAATCCCTAAGAGTTACCTCAGAAGCCTCTTCAAAATTCATCCAAATACATTGAATTTACAAAAAAAATTGATTATGATGCTAAGGTCCCTAATTGTGGTGCCTAGGCACCAACCTTCTAGATGCTTGAAATAACTGTCTGTCGCCTAGACGTTAGAGCTTGACGCCATGACGTCGGGCTCTCCATTTTCGCGTACAGGGTCTGGCGCCTAGGCACCAGGGCCAGTTCACTTTTTGCTCCTTTGCCCCATTTGACCCATTTTGCTATGTTTTCGCTCCCTTTTCTTCAAAATTCCATCTCTTGTATTTGAAAGAAAAAACAAGCAAAATACCTTCCATTAAAATACAATATTATTAAAAATGAGCATAAAATGTATATAAAAAGTAGCACATTTTTAGGCATGTCACTACTCATCACTACCATGCAAGCAAACCTTCTTTGGATTAAGGGTGTTCATGGGCAACCCCCAAGATGTAATCAACCAAATAAGATACGTCCCATTGGGAGCACTCTAGTCCCAAGAACAGACACATACATCTGAATCTTTGATTATGGATAATCGAAGTAGGTATTCCTTTGCGAATATCGATCCGAGTTGCTTTAACTCGATCTTGTTTGGGTGGACATGCTTGAACTATCCTTGTGAGGTTTAACGCAAGTAGACTCTCCACATTATTTTGTTTATTGTCTTTATCGTAGTCTGTCTTTTCTTGCTCCTCTCTTCTCGTGATCATACATATGATCAGAAAGCGAAATTTGTCTGGAAAAAAGGAAATACACGACGATAGATAAACTGATGATTCCTTCAAAAATAAAAAGAGAAAAAGGATGAAAACTTCTACTATGTGCAAAATATTCATATTAAATTTACATTTATGGTGATATAGTTTAATTAATACTCATCCTTATCATGTTATACCTATAATAATATTTTCATTTTTATAACCTTCTTATTAATTATATTAATTTAAAGTCAATCAGGTGTTTGAAGTAAACAATGGCATTAGATTTACTTGCTTTCAATTTCAAATTTAATTATTATTAAAAATAATTAATTACTCTTTATACAATACTTTATTGATAATTTAGTTTCTCAATTTTTTTATTTATTTGAAATTTAACTTTAAGATCTTTGCTAACGGTTTTGTCAATGAATTCACGTTATAATAAGAATGTAATACATGATGTAAATTTTATTAAAAACAAGATAAATCCAAATACAATAATTAAAAAAAAAAAAGAAATATGCACCAATACAAAAAAAAAAAAAATCTTATTTTATTTACTAAAATTAAATGAAAGATGAAATAATAAAAAGAATACACAAAATAGAGATATAATGTTTAATTCAAAGTTTTCCTCGTCATCCTCCTCTTCGTGATCGTTCACTTTCTGGGTGGGCTCGATGTCCTATTAAAATATAGAAGCTAAAAAAACTTGGTTTAGTTGGGGCCAACATTCAAATAGTAGTTCTGAAATATATTCGCTAACGCCGGGTTGAATTCAATCATATAAATGAACTATTATTGTTTTTGGTGTATGAAATAATCAAACTTGTGATCCATCTCATATTTCCACCTTATGCTTTAAATTCTCTAATCAACTCTCCTTTGCAAACCAAATACCTTTTCTCTCAGATCCTGAACTTACTCAGCCATAGAAGATGGAAGCTTGGGCAAGGAAAATAGAAGAACACAAGGAACTCTACCCATGTTCAGACATATAACTCATAAAAGATAAAGTCTTTTTTCTTATTCAAAGTTGAAGAAAAAAAATTTTGTTCCTATGAGGAATCTTTTAATGTACCTACCAAGGCACAAATCAAATAAGTGAGGGAAGGGCATCCTAGACCTACAGTGTAGCCATATTTAAAATAACCCTAGAAATGATTTTGTATATATCAATGATACTTTCCATTTGAATTGTAATATTTAAAACTTTTTGGTCCCTAGTGCCATCAATGATATTCCTACTTGACATTAACTTGACAAAAATAAGATATTGATAAGCCTTGCTTTAGTAGTCATACTAGCAAAATAAAAATTTATCAAATTTTCCTCTCTAGTTTCCCACCCGACATAGACATCTAGCCTTAGTAAAAAAATCTAAGATCTCATCAAAATTAAGGTGATCATTGTAATAGTTCAAGTAATCATCATGATAAAAACTAGGTAGATGATAAACATTGTTAATGGTATCCAAATCAAATGCTACCCACTTCACCCTAACAAACACCTTATAGTTATGTTGTTTCTTTGCATTGATAAGGAATTCACATACCATATGAATGATAGAAGCAGAGTGTTCCTCAACTAGCTTCTCCCACCCACTTATCACAATAAGACTGTTGCACATCCACAGGGGCTCCTAAAACCTCTCTCAAAAAATGATCTTTTTTGTGCATAAAGGCTTTCTCATTTCTACCCTAAGCCTTAAACCTACTAAACTTCCTAAAAATCAAATGATGCTGGGACAACTTTTTCCCCTTAACCTTAGAGACAATTGCTAAAACAAAAAAAAAAAAAAAGGGTTTGGAATGAAGGAAGAAAGAAGGTTTACAAACTCACCTTATTAATAAAATAATATTTATACAATTTGAGGTCATTTACAGGAAAAGGGTAGTCAACTGATGCTTTGATTTTAATGTTCTGCATTGCATGCTAAGTTATATCAGCATTGTAGTGCTAAGTGGTAGTGTTGTGGCATGGGCAAAGCAACACTGTGGCGCTATGACTTTACAGTCAGAAGGTCAAAAAGTTGCTATGCCATCTGTAAATACTATGCATTATATAATTAATTTTTATTAATATTTACACCAAATTAACATGATAGCCATCAGTGAATTTCTAGTAGCACTCTGGCATAGGTTCGTAATGTTATAGTGCTACCTTAGATTCCCATCTTTTCCACCGACACCAATCAGCCTATCCAACATGTTGCAAATGGTCATTCTGCACTGTGATTCTTAGCCAAAAGCTGACATGCACATAATTTTAAACATGTTTTAATAATAACAATAACAATAATAATAATAATAATAATAATAAACAAAAACACATCACATATAACAACACTGCAAATCAATGTTGTTGCACGCCATTCAACAACATTGTGGGACTGCAACCTGCAAGAAAATATATGTAAAATTTCTTTTATTAATTTTTTTCATAACATAAAAAAATTTATAGTAATGTAAAAATAACTGAAGTTCAATGTTGCCTTCCCATTTGCGCTTATTTTTTTATCCTTGGGCTGACAACGGCAATTTTTAAATAAGGATGAATCAACTTTAAAGCTTCTTTATAATGCTCCATTCATTCTCTAAGATAGGAGTTTAGTCTTGGTACATTTACTTTAAAAATTCTTTATTAATTTTTTTCATAACATAGAAAAAAACTTATACTAATGTAAAAATAACTGAATTTCAATGTTGCCTTCCCATTTGCGCTTATTTTTTTACTTTTATTAATTTTTTTCATAACATAAAAAAATTTATAGTAATGTAAAAATAACTGAAGTTCAATGTTGCCTTCCCATTTGCGCTTATTTTTTTATCCTTGGGCTGACAACGGCAATTTTTAAATAAGGATGAATCAACTTTAAAGCTTCTTTATAATGCTCCATTCATTCTCTAAGATAGGAATTTAGTCTTGGTACATTTGCTTTAAAAATTCAGTCATTTTTTATATCATAATAATTAAGATTACAATTCAATTCATTAACTGTCCAATATGCCTTATGCTCTAATTCTAAAGATAAATATGTAGCTTTGGGGGGCATTTCAATGTGTCTTAAAAGTGGCCCCATAAACCCATAAAACATCATCAAACTTCAGAGATTAATCCTTCATGGAGTTGTATATTTTCTCCAAAATTCTCTTAATCTTCCTATTAAATATTTTAGCTTTACTACTAACCTGACGAGGATAGGTAGTGCCAATTCGGAGTATGACAAACATATACACAAGACCGAAGCTTTAACATACCTACCTCTTCTCATTTAAAACTACTGAAGAAAATGCTAAAAATGTCGACTTCAGCATTTTGGTAATTTTATTTTTTATGTAGGACCCTGTATGCATCTTCAAGTCCGCACTTTAGCATTTCTTTATTACATACAAGCTATATGCATGAACCGTACAGTGGAATTTAGGGAAGGGGTTGAGAAAATGTACAATCTCGTGGACCACTGAGATGATTCAGCAATGCTGCACCTGCGATTCCTCAAAGCTCGACTCCAATCCTCTCGGCAACCTGCAAAAATCGCATGTCAAATGATTAGTACATATACACACACGGGTAAAATTACATTGCACACAATTCTTATGGATTTACGTATGTCACACCTAAACTTTTATATTTACATGCATAGCACTTTAACTATGTATGAAAACTAGTATTATTTTTTATAAGATACCGAAGAATTGGACGCTATGCATGTAAGAATGAATGTTTTGGCGTGAGATGTGTAAATCCATAATTATGTACATAAATGCCCCATACATCAGCTATCTATCTATATATATATATCTGTGTGTGTATGTGTGTGTGTGTGTGTGTCGCAAGTCGTGGCCCGTTGGTTGGCGGGGTTCATTGTAAGTCCCCTGAGGTCATGGGTTCGATCCCCAGTAGCGTTGAGTTCTCAAATATTTAGGCTCATGGCGCGGGCTCTCATCATGGGGTCTAATGCAAGGGAAATCGGTATTTGGGCCTCTGTCAAATAACGACTTCTTCTTTAAAAAAATAATATATAT